TGTCACAAGAAATTATATTGCCAAAATGCTGTTGTCATGGAAAATTCAAAGGTTTTGCGCATTCCAAAGTCTTCGGCTCTTGCATTCTAGACTAGTGACTTTTCCCCTACTTTTCCCCTATTTAGACATATGAATCCTTAATTTTTTTCCAGTGGAAATGTACTGGTAAGCCAACTTAAGCCTACAGAAATTAAGTTTGCATTTCTTGTAGTCTCATGAACCTTTCATGAATCCCCTCATAAGTAATTTGTAGTTCCTCAAGTCAGAAAACCACAGATGAAGCTGGATTTCTGATTTACAGTGTCACAAATTTCTAGTAGAGAATGCATAGAATAAGGATATTGGTTAAGTGTTGTTTTTAAAGTAATCTGATATTTGAAGGCATTTTTAGTTGTTGTTCTATGTGAAATTCTGTTTACTGTGGTATGTTGAATTTACCCTAAACCATCTCCTTCAGGGATTATTTGTGTTCATTTCCCAGCATAGGTAGATACCCAGGTAAATGGAGAACTTGATTAATTTCCTGAATTTTGATGTCAGAGTCCGATATTCTCTGACCAGGTGCGTGCAAATATTTGTCATGTGAAGGATGTAATATTTAGTATCAAATTTACCTATTTGAAGATTGTTGTTGTTAAATGGGGTTTCTGATTTAGCAGTGATACAAAATATACTTAAAACAAATGGAAGTTACAGTTAGCAAAATAGAGTGATTGCAATATGCTGCTCAGTCACAATGCTGATGTGATTCCCATTACTTCTCTCTGGAATATGCTCATCAGCACAACAGTGGTTTGTAAGGCATACATGGGTTGAAGCCAGGTCAAGCCTTTTGCTCTCTTCGAAGTTCTTTTTCTAGTTGTTTAGTTTTTATGCTTGGCTGAGCTGCCTATTCACTCTGTCCATGCTGGCCTGGCCAGCTCAGGGAGACAGTCATGCTCTTCAACTCAGGGAGAGATACCTACACCACCAGTTGTTCTTCTCAACTGTGATATGGTCAGTGGATCCACTTGACTGGCATAGGTACTTATCTGACAGAAAGGCCAGCCTCTACTCCCCTTTGTGTTGGGATTGTCAGCATTCTTTGCAACAGCTCTGCTCAGTCACCCCTTGCACTCTCCTGATATTGATAGACACATCCCCCTTGCCTGTCTTCTCACTGAGCCTTCTATTGGAGGGGTTTATTGGTCCATCACAGTATCAATTACATTCTGGTTTATGTTATTAAGTATTTTTATTTATACTTTAAATATAATACACTTTCATTCTTGCATTTTCCCCATTTTCCCCAAATTTAACTCTGTCATAGAAAAATATTTTTAGTATTTATGGTCTTTTGAAATAATTTTCAGAGGGACTATGTCACCCTGTTCTTAAAACATTATTTCCTAAGGACAGGAGACCAGCTATGTTACTATTCAGTGAGAAATAATATATAAGGTGGGCTTTTTCTGTGCCTGCCCATTAAGAAGTGTACAGCAGGTCTTTATATCACTCTAAGGTGCAGGGGCCAGGGCAGCAGACTTTCTCCACACACAAGGAAAGATTCAGGTCCTGGCTGTTTCAGGCAAAAGGAATTAATACTGGGTTTCAGCAGCAGCAGCTATGAGTACCTCTGCAGAGATTGTGCCAACTTCTAAAGCTAACTAAAAAGAAAGATGATGCAGACATTTAGTATTTAAATAGTCTGCAATATTCAATAGCAAAGGGCAAACTCAAGCTAAAATGTTTCACATTTCTCTTTCACAGTGGTGAAATGTTTTAATATCATTCAATGTGGAGGGAATTGCGTTAAACTGTCGTTGTTGTATGTAGGTACTTAATACTAAGTGTTTTTCCAAGTTTTCATTACTGCAGTGAGTGTAGAAGACACGTAACTACTGTTAGCAGAACAGTCTCTGTTTTCTCTTCGTGCTCCCCCCTCCTTTTCTTTTCTGTATGAGTGATGTTTGAGACTGTCAAGAGTGACCGTGTTGTCTCTGATGCAGTAGCACTTGGCACAGAAGGGAGATGTATCATGGATATATTATCCCCACTTTTCACTTTTGTTCCTCTGTTGATGGCTATCCAGAAGATGCAGACTCCCTATTTACAGGGAGTCACATGGAAAAGACAAGAGATAATGGGCACAAGTTGCTCCTGGGGAGATTCCAATTGGACACAAGAGGTAAATTTTTCACCATGAGGACAAATATTGAAATAATCTCCCAAGGGAAGTGGTAGTTTCCTACATTCCCCCACTTTGGACACCTTTAAGTCTCAGCTTGACAGGCTGCTGAGCCATCTCATATAAACTATAGTAGTACCTAGAAAGTTTGGACCAGATGGTCCTTGAAGTCCCTTCCAATCTAGCATTCTATGGGTCTATGATTCTATAATTCTTCTGACTTTATAAAAAAGCAGAAAACTCAGATCAGTTCTCTGTGAGTGAGTGACTGAATTATATCAGAGTTGGGGAACAATGGGAAGATGATCTATCTGCACTCTTGGGAACTGTTGCTGGATGTTTAGATGTGCTATCGTAAGGGACATCCCCATTTAAAAGAGAACAAAATGACTGTTTTTCTCTCCTTGTAACACATCTCTTCCTAGGTGTGGTTCTTGTAGACTATTGTGTTGTATTAACAGAAGTGGCCCTGCTCTGTGTCCTGGTCAGTGTGAAGGGAGAACTGCGGTTGCTGTTGCAGGAACTCCAGTTATGACTGGATGTATTTTTTTCTCCACAACACCTTTGTCCCTTCCATCATCTCACTTTCATTTAATTGAGTGTTACAAGATTAAGTGAAACTATTATAAGGTGATTTTTTTTTAAGTGATGATTTTCCTTTTCTCCTGAGTGATTTATTAATTAGAACATTAATTTTAAAAGCTGCTTATGTTTAATTAAACAGCTCCGCATTTCAATGATTTATAAGTGCTAATTGGCACATTTTAACTTTTTAGTCATTATGATAGCCACATGAATCCTTAATATCAAAATGTAAAGGAGATAATAAATCTGTGATAGAACAGATTATCAGTAACTTCACTCCCTATGACAGCTGAGGACTACCCAGCTACAGAAAGCATTCAATGTTATGAGCAGTCAGTAACTGAAAGCCGCTGGAGGATAACCAGAATAAATAATAGTGGACAGAGCCACATCAACAACATGCCAGTAGATTTATGGTAGTGCCAGCGGCATTGAGTAATCACCCATGCCAGGCCAGTGCTATTGCCCAGCAGAGTGTGGAGCAATTCGCACCCCTGCAAAGCAGGCACAGAGCGCCCTGGTGCCAGGTTCCTCAGCGTCCCTTCTGCGCAGTGTGGGGCTACACTGAGCAATATGGCATCAGGGTCCTGGTACTACTGGAAGGCTCATGCTTGGGCTGAAGATGGAGGGAAAGTTATAGCAAAAAAGCACATTATGTGTTTATAAAAAGGATAGGGATTATAAGATAAGAGCCATTAGAAACTTTTTAGAGGGCAGAGATTCCCACTTACAAAACTCAATACATTGACAGAAAGAAGCTTATGTAAGGTTTAGAAGTCAGTGTTTAGTTTTTATGAAACTTAAACAACAAAGAAATTGTTTTAAGGTCTCCACAAACCACTCCTATCCCACTCCTAAAACCCTGCTAGCCACTCTATGTAAAGTATAAAATTTAATTATTTAGGTCAATAAATCCATTTCCATACCCTTCCCCACCCTGTTTTTAGTTTTTATGGATAATAATAAGAGTTTTGCTAAATCCTTCCAAAACCAACTTCAGGCTGAAAGATCTGGATAAGTTCTTGTTCTACTTGATGTTAGTCCAATTTTGAGACTTCAAAATCCTTTAGAGAACTGGCTATCTATATTCCACACCTGCAAAATTTTGTAAAATAAGGGGAATGAGGAATAATGCTGCTTGAGGGAATATGGCCCATCCACTGGTGACTGCATTACAGAATGGGCAGCACCCACTCTGCCAGCATTCATGGTGATCAAACAAGATTAAATTCAGTAACAGTCCTCACTTGTTTATAGTGAAGCCACAGTGAATTCTTTTTCTCCTTTCCTTATTCTCATGACCTCCCTTTCCTCTCTTCCCTTTCTCATTTCTAAACTGTGACTCTCTTCTTCTGCTTCAACTTGCTGTCTTCCAATTTTCATTTCAGGTCACACATTGTCTGCTTGCCCTTTCCACATCCTGTACCCTTATTTTCTGCCTTTCAAAAATATTTTTACTTTTATAACTTTTCTCCTTCCCCCAGGAGAAATCTTCTCTCATCTTCTCCATGCTGGAGACTTCTGCACTTTTCCTTTTTCACATTTTCAGTTCAGCATTATTCATCTCTGGATTGCTCAACAGTTAAAATTGAGAAGTTACTCTATAGTTAGTAAATAACACTGTAAGTTTGTCCCTGTGCCTGCTATCTCTAATCAGTTCATAATTTCCTCAGCTGCACTCATTCAAAATTACATAAGCAATAGTTTAAACAACAGCTTAATATTGTGATTGGCAGTCTGAAATTAATGTTGTATCCATTTGAAAGCTACTTGTTTCACTTGATGTCATTACTCCCTTCTGATTCAATTAATTTAATTCTTAGAACTTGATATTGGCATCTTTCTTTACCTGAGAGAAGCTTGCTCCCAATTTTATTGCCTAGGTTAATTAATCAGCACTTCTCTGCAGAGGGTGAATTTTTACTTTCAGTAAGTTGTGAGGTAAAATAAACCAAAACCAAATCCACTTTATTAACAATTACTCCTGTAAATGTCGTCATATTTTCTTTCATAATGTGATCTATTGTTTTATTTCTGTCTTTTGCCTTTTGGATAAGCCATAATGATTACTTAATCTGATCCTATATTTACTTTAGTGAGAAAGCAATTAAAGAAAGCAGTGCCTGAAACCTCATTTTAACCTTAAAGTCAGGGGGAAACAGTTCCTGTCTGTCTAGGGCTGTACAGATTGTCTTAACTTTATTAACTTCTGCTCTCAGGTTCCAACCCACATTTTTCTCTCTTCCAGGTGAGCCTATACACTGTAAGAAGTCAGAAGATATAGTAAAAGCCACTGAGCAGAAAGAAGCACTGATACAGAACTAGATTTGCTGTTTCTTGAAAGCTTCTGACATTTCAGGCAGGACAGGTAATTTTATCATTTCAGTCTTCTAATTGGGACAGTTTTATACCACAAAGACTCACCGAGTGCTATTATTATCCTCTTTGTTCTGTTCCAGTTGTGGTTTCATTTATTATTTAAATGGGGACATGGTACACCCCCCTCTCTGTGTCCCCTTAAAAGCCATTAAACATAAAGAAAGGAAAACCAGTAATTTTATATCTCTCGGTCCTTAATGTCAGACTAAATGGTTTTGTAGTAAAAGATCCTCAATGCATGTATATGAAATATGAGAAGCAATAGTATTAAAAATCTATTGCTTATTAATTTTTATTTGACCTCTGTTGCAGAAGAACTCTAGCTGTTCCTACCCCATGGTCTCAGAAGCTGTTATCTTGTTCTCAAATCATCCTGTTTCTGTGGAGAGTAATTGGACAAAATGATCAAAAGCATAAAACGCTGAGCTGGTAACTTAAGGCACTTACAACTAGCAAGTTTTCAATTGTGTTTGTTGTTGCTATGTCTTCTTCTATTCTGCTTTCTAAACTAGCCAAAATACTTTTTTCAAAGCTGGACCTTGCTTTATTGCATCACTGGCACCAGACATTTCCAGTTAACCATGAGCCATGGGAAAACATGACACCTATCATCTGCCCAGGACTGCTGTTGCATATCACTGCTACTGGTGTCCAATGGAAATGGACAGTCACAAAGAAACGTTGCTATAGATACTTGTTCATGCAACCATGCTGCATGCAACATTAAAGTCCTACTTGTTACCTTCCTTGAAATACCTGGAAATAAATACAATGAGACTGTACAGGGAAGTTGAAGAATTACACTGACCAGCCTGCATGGATGATGATTCTTTCCCACTGTGGGGGCTGCCAAATGGAGAGAACTGGTGTTTATCAAATCAGTATTTGAAATATCTCTTTTAAAAGTTATTAAATAGCATCCAGTATTAAAGGTCAAAACATTCTCAGTCCTATAGTATTTTGGAAGACATCAGCAACGGCGTCAGCCCTACCATGAAGCTGGTGCTTATTGTTTTGTAGGGCAAAAGAGACAACTATAGGAATACAGGAAAATTGCTTCAGTTCAGCAAAATATTGTGTTGCCTGTCAGACAGAACTGGAAAGTGACACTGAGGCCTTACATCATGGTTCGTCTCAACATGGTGACAATCTGGATCCTGCAAAATCCTTCCAAGCATTTTTTCATTAAAAGAAAACATCAGACCATCTTTCCCTGAGAGGTAGAGAAAAGAGAGCATACAGGCAGTTACCTCTGCAAGACACCTCAGAATGAGCCCTCCAGCCCAAACTGTGCCCAGAAAGAGACACCATTTTCATCTCCACTTCCCTCCAGCTGCCTGTGACCTCTCCTGGCTCGCCCAGGCACCCCACACACTGCAGCCAACCTCATTTCCTTCTGCTGGAACCTGCCAGGAACTTTTCATGCTCCTCCTTGCATTGTAGGCCCTCGGGTCACTGCACTCCCAGTTCTCCTTTTCAGACCTTGTGGTTGTTACCTCACTGACCAAAAAGTCTTTGCAATCAGCCATGGTCTGCTCTGAGGAGGACTCTTGGGGGTGGTGGCACTCACCTCTGTGCAGAGGCTGATGGACATTTGCGACCTGTGTGCTGCTCATCAGCTGCTTCAGGGGTCTAACCAGAGCTCAACAGACATCAGGCTCAACCTCAACAAGGGCAGGCTTTGTCCCAGGTGAAGAAGGAATCCTAAAACAGTCACCCTAGACTAAGGGAGCCTTACACTTCCATACTGGCTGACTGTTTCTTTTCTGACAGCAGAGCAATCAGAATTGAGCTGGGAACAGAACGAGCTCTGATCCTGGGGACAAGGGCATGCCAAAAGGAGGAATTCCTGTCATTGAATATGTAAGCCATACAGACACTATGCATAGGTAGTGTGCATAGTTTTAACTTAAGAAATGTTTGTGCATATAGGATGTAAAAAGTGCATTTAAATTGTTTTGTGTATCTGGTCCAGGACTTGTATTTAGCGTAGACACATTTCTGTACAGTGCAGTAACAAATGAAATGTTAACAGATGAAATTGTATCATATATGTTATAATGCAATTGATATTTTTTGCTAAGAGTTAAGAATTTATATATTCTCTGCTAGTGTTTGGACAAATCATTAGTAGCTTGGACCACTCCGTGCACCTTTGCATCATTTTTGGGAATGTTAAACTCTTTTTTTTTCCTTTATAGTAAACCACAAACTATCTTATGGTTACTTTCTGACATTATGACAAGATAAGAAACATAGTCGTCATATCAGACTTTTAAAAACTTGTAAATTGCAATATGCTTTGGCAGTGGAAAATCATCCTGTTTAAGATCTGAGAACTTGGTACCTTACTTCAGATATGTTGAGTGTCTGCAGTTCCCACCAAATTTGAAAAGAACAAAATATGTCTGGTATCTTAAACACTAGGCCAGTTAGGTATTTGTCTGTTACTGAGTGTTCTTCAACATTGTAATTTTTGGTTCATTGTGACTGAAAGTCTGGAGCAATCAGAAATTAGTTTTTTTTATTGTATTTTTAATTTTAGACTTTTGCCATAGTTGAAGTTGACTTTTTTATCTGTGTCTCTGTCCCATTGTGATTTATATACTCTGCAAGTATACTCTTGCATTTCTTCTGGAAATACAAGCAGAAATTATAACAGATTCTGAGGAGTACTTGGAGCATCCTGTGAGGCTCTCACTGGCCTGATATTATAGCCAGAACCAAGATCTCCAATTGCAGAAACTAGATGGAGCTCCTAAACTCACAGGAGGCACTTGATGCCTGCAGAACTCCTTCATTAATATAGAAATGTGAGTTGTTAATACACAATTCTATTTGCTCCTTTGTATTTTGTTTAGATCACTGTGGTAGATGTTACTGAAATACAAGGAGAGTCCTTAGTTTTCTGTTAATAACAGCTGATTCTCTTTCTTCCTTCCTTCCTTTCTTCTAAGCAAGATTTTACGTGGACATGACCCAAACCTTAGTGCGTTGTTTGACTGAGGAAAAATTTGCTTTGGTGAAGACCAAGATAGCCAACACGTGTTAGTTAAGGCTTTGACCTTGGGTGAAATTTGCTTGTCAATGGCAGAAAGGCTTCTTGAGAGAGTCTCTCCTTGAACAATGATTTCTCTCTGAAACCTGTAAGGCTGCACTACCAAAACACTGCATGGGGCCACAAGACATGGTGTTTGTTCATGTTTCTCTCCCTCAGCGTTATGGGCATGTACCCCTGCATTGAGTACACTGAGGAGCTGTAGCTATAGATTAGCCCTCAAGAGTTTTATTTTGTATTTTTATCTTGAGATATCTGAGAGATATAGTATATAATATTGTTATGGGTTATGATCTAGCCAGTATTTTTTTATTTAATTTTTAACAAGGCGATCTACAACTGTGTTTTTATTCTGCTGTATTTGTCCGTATTTCCTATGATGATATTCCCAAATAAATTTGATTTGAGGGCAAGGATTTTAAAGCTCCTGAATGGTAGTTACAAATTTGCTTTACAGAAGCATGTTTGCTTATTTGTGTATGGTGGAGCATAAAGGATTGTTTCTAACCCTTTCACCTGCTTGTGACTCCACACTTTTTCCATGACTGTGCTGGTTTGCTGTACAAACTCATGTGCTTGTACAATTTGTCTAAGCAAGTCTTGCCTTCTTAGCTTTTACTGTTAAAATAGGCTTCACAGGAAGAAAACCATAACTGACAGAACCTTTTTTTACCCTAAAAATTCTTACTCTGGGTTGGTATTGAGAGAGTCACTGGGATTGTTCATGTTAGCAACAATTCTTTAGGAATGGTATGACTTTCAGAGGCACTCCATGACATGGTGTAAATTTCCATGACTGTGCTGGTTTGCTGTACAAACTCATGTGCTTGTACAATTTGTCTAAGCAAGTCTTGCCTTCTTAGCTTTTACTGTTAAAATAGGCTTCACAGGAAGAAAACCATAACTGACAGAACCTTTTTTTACCCTAAAAATTCTTACTCTGGGTTGGTATTGAGAGAGTCACTGGGATTGTTCATGTTAGCAACAATTCTTTAGGAATGGTATGACTTTCAGAGGCACTCCATGACATGGTGTAAATTTAATCAGCTAAATTCAGTGAAGCAGGGGAGAAACACAGCCCCCTCCTTACTAAGTTGGAAATTAATAGAAGGAATCCCATTGACCTGGATGTGTATCAAATCCTAAAAAGCTAAATGATGGAAATAAATTGAGACAATTGCTTTATATCACATTCTTTGCAGTTCCTTTTTTCCAGATGCTATCCCAGCTACCTGCGCAAAGGAGCTTCTGCTGTTATATAAATGCCGGAAGTCAAACAAGCCACTACTGTGACCAAAACAACTTCAAATTAACAAATAAATCAAGATCTTCAGAGGTAAGTGGCTGAATCACCACCTATTATGCAATTCCATGAAAGCCAAGAGAGCCAGTGTCTTTATACCAGCAATTAATTTGATAGTTGGATAGTAATCAGTTGTCTCTTCATTTCAGCTGGTTTACTGGTTGTTTTCTGCTCTGGAAGCTACTTGGAGGGTCTAATGACTCTGCACAAAGCACTACTCAACTTTAAGCCATCTGAAATTCTTTTCTTGAAATTGTGCTTCCTTTTTGTTGAGACCTCTCTCCTTTGAGGGTGAGCTATGATTTTCTTTCCAGTCAGAAATGAATATTCAGCTTTGTTGTTTGGGATACTCCGATAGTTCACAAGTGCAATGAATAGCAGCATGCCTGTGTCAAGCATTTTTGTATGATGCAGGATGCATCTTTATTGTAGCATTTCTGTTTGAAAGACACAAAGTAGTTTGGGGTAGGGCAGAACTGTAGTGGCAGCTGGAGTAGTTCTGGGGAGATACGTGTGTTCTCAAGTGAAGAGCAGGTACAGGAGCAGGGCTACAGAGTTGGTATTTCCAGTAAATTAAAGAATAAAAATGGGATGAGCAATTTAAAAATTACTTATAATTGACCTTCATGTCTGTTTTTAATATTCAATCTGTTGAGTGTTTAAAAAAGCAATTAAAAGTCCCATATAATGTTAAAACCCTTGATGAATGTAATAAACAAATGACATATTCAAAAGAGAGAATCTATGTCCCATTAGGAGAGAAAAAGAAAGATGAGAGCAACATATGGCAGTATAATTAGCATGATTAGGGAAGCACATCAACAGAATTTATGCTGCAGGGAAAATGTAATAAGAAACCAACACACTTTCCTCACTGCCTTGAAAACTGCAAATATCACTCTCTGAAAAGGAGAAAATGCAGAAAGACTCTTTGGCATTTAAAGCTGTAACTTGTGTTCTTCTGTCATTATTAAAGATGCACACAGCCATCTGCAAACCGTTTATTTTTTGCAGAGTTCACATTGTCCCATTGCTTTGATTAGTAAAGAGCAATATTACACCTCAGCTGCTTTTCAGAAAGATGCTGTTTTTGAAACCTAATTAATACTTGTTCTGCAGTTAGCTTGAGGTGTTCGTTAGTGCCAGATACTGAGTTCTTATTTGTTTCTCATTATGTGGAGAGTAGTGCTTCTCAATGCCAACATTTTTGGTTTGCATTTTAGAATAACCTTTCGACACCCCTGCTTCCCCCAACCCTCCCTTCAGAAATGCTAATAACACCTGTCACCATTATTTTAACAAGCCTGTTACGTCTGTTGAAGACAATGTGGGCTATTTACATGGATAGACTATCCTGATGCACAGCAAATCTTCCTGCCATTTTCTGAACAGTTGGGCCAAAAAGAAAAGCAAAATATAGAAAATTGGCAAGGCAATTCAGATCTCAGTTTACCACTAAGGGTCAGTATAGGCTAAGCAAATGAATCATTACAAAATTGAAAGGGAGTGTTTGGCCTACCAGGAGTACAAAAGATCCTTTCTGTCCTAAAAATCTCAGATTATTTGATTTTAAAAAACCAAGCAAGCAAAAATAAAACAAAACCCACAACAAAAATCCCTCAAAAAACCTAGAGCAGAAATATAGACATTGAACTTGTAGAACCCCCATCAGCTGGCTTTGCTGTAGCTGGAAACTAGTAGCATCTTACCAGGTGGCCTGAGATTTAGTAAAGGGTGCACAAATATCTTCCTTGGGCTTCAGCCAGAGTGCTGCTCTCCTCTCTGAAGGATAACGGAGAGAATACAGGAAAGCGTAGGAGACATTTAGCATCCACTTTTTTTGCCAAGTATAATTCTCTGCATGAAAAGGTCAAATGTAATTGCTCATGTCAGGAACCAACAGAACAACTGAAATTCTTACTGCAAATCACCATTGCACTGAGCTGCTAAAGAAAAAATTATAAAAAGAAAACAGCTGTGGCCCTGAACACCAATGGGGATGCCATAGGAGATGAAGAAAGGGAAGTTTTAGGGACAGCATGTTTTCAATCTGTCCTTGCATTGTACCCCAAGGGCTAGGGGATAGATGATGTCTTATGTACTGCAGAAGTAAGGTCCCTCATAAAAACCCCTGTGTCTCAATCTGTAAGAAAAAGAAAAAGATAGCAGGATAAGAGGAGCTTCCTGTAGACTACACATATTTCCGCCAAAGAGGGCATGTTGTTGGCCAAAACCTGTGACCATACTCAAGCAAAATTCCTCTGACTTGTGGAAATTATGCTTTGGAAAGGACTTTTAAATCTTGGCTCTTACTTTGTATCTATTTAAGTACTATTTAGTTTTGCACCTGTAGAATAAACAACATATACCATCCCGTAAGTCAAACCATGGAATTTTTCCAAATCACTTATCACCACAATGTCTCAGTGGTGCTCACCATGCTGTGTGACAACCAGAGCTCTTAGTTACATGCTCAAGTATATGAGCAACTCTCTTGCTAAGGCTGCCATTTTAAAATGTGTCAAAGGCTGCACCAAAACTCAGAAAAGACCTATTCTAGTAAGTAGACTGCTTTTCCTGACCTTCCTTTCTGATTTCCCCACTTCCAGATATTTCTGCCATGGAGCTCACTGAAAACCTACTGCAGTATTTCACCTCTGCTTCATGACAAACACTTTTTTTCCCTGATCTATTTTGTTTTATGGATTCTTTCCTTCTAACTCCACTTGCTGTGTGCCTTACAAGTGAAAGATCAGACGAACAGGGCTTGCTTATACTTAAAGCTAAAAATGGCTGACGTATATAAAAAAAGGGTGTCCTGACTTTCTCCTTCAAATGAGGTCCCACCACCAAATGATGTCTATAGTAAATTATGATCTATAGTAAAATCTCTGCTAGAAATCTTGTCTCTTTGCCAGAGAGGAAGAGTCTATTCCTGTAGTCAGCTATGCTGTGTACATAGTCTCAGGTCAAGAAAGAAAGAAACATTTAAAATGATAAAACACAGTTGGAATATTTATAGATGGGGAGATGATAAGACCTGGGTTTAGAGACGTATCTAAATACTGGTGTAGCTAGAGGCTCTTATCAGATCCCGTTGTTTCATCCAGATCCCAGCTGTGAAACAGAATAGTTGTTCTCTTGTTGCTGCAGTAACAATCATGGAAATACTCAGATGCAGTTCAAACTAAATCTATTTTTTTTTCCTCCTATTCTTTATAAAGTTTAATCATCCTCAGCAAGCAACTATGTAAAGAGCCTGGTGCTGTGTGAAAGCAAAGCTGTGTCAAAGCTGGGACCAGAGCCCAGCTCTTCCGGATCCTGATACCAGTCCAGTCTTAACTTTGGTCCATTCAAATGGCTTCTGAAGGGTCACATCCTTCTTTTTGTTGTTTCTGGCATGAAAAGTCCTCAGTTCTGTATGTCCCATAGCTACTTCTGTATAACTGAAGAGTCCTTCTTTTAGCCTGTCTTGTATACTTATGCTGAGCTGGAGTAATGGATCCTGTTTGCAGTGTTTCTACAGAAAGTAGCAACAAAGAGGTGAGATGCAGAGATACAGATGGAGGCCAAAACGATGGCTCCCAAATATAAAGAAACACTTGTTGACAGATCCTGGTTTCAGCAGGTCTTCATGGAAGACCAGTGAAATCACCACGCAAAGCACTGACAAAAGGCTCTGTGTTTTCATACACTTCATCTTTTCTCCTTTTTTTTTTGTTTGTGTTTGTTGTTTTTTTTTATAGCTCAGCCTTTTAAAACTTTGTATCAAAAGCAAACAGTTACTATGAAACAACAGTGAATTATTTTAAAAACATGCCATTGATGAAAAAGGGTTCTTCTTTGCCACCTTATTTCATTTTATGCCATAGAGTTTGTAAGATCTAACGAATGAGAATGTTGATATGAACCATTCCAAACTTCTACCAAAAACCCTATGGCTGAGTCACGTGCTCAGTGTCCTGCCATTTACTGGCTGAAATGGTGACAAATGCAGAGTGGCCTGGCTCTCTTTCTCCAAGAGGGCTGTACCCAGTGCTTGCTATAGGTGATGCAGGTGAATATGGGCATTCCTGGGGCTCAGCTGGTGCATGGGACCCTGCTCGTGGCTCTCACACAATCTTGTGTTTCCTCTGACTCCCAGATAAAAACCTTTTCTAATGCTTCCAGATAACAATGACCTTGCATAAAGAGAAATTGTTTTGGCTGATGTGACTACTCAGCCTCAGACCAAAAGCAAGACTTTAAGTGCTGCCTATCCAGGGAACACAGGGAAGAGTGTCTTGGCATTCCGCTTCTCCAGACTAAGTCACCTCTGCTTACTTTGCTTCTGTCTACATTACTGCAAGTAACTCTTAACAGTACTGGTAAAAACTTTCCTTAACTGAAAGGATTATTCTCTACTACCTCTGCATGCTAGACAAACCCACTGTACAATACAGTCTTGTCTAAATGAACATATTATTTATTTTGTAGCTTTTAAATCAGTTTTATTTACAAGAGGTCTTAGAGTACAGCTCACACGCAGTAGTTAAGCTCTGGCAGTACTGAAGTCAGGTCACTAACACATTTGCAAATTACATTTCTAAGTCATAAAAAAATGAAAGAAAAATTACTTTAAAATAACTGTTTTATCTTCGGGGTTAAGGATCACAGGACGCGTTTGCAGGTGGCTGTAAATCCCAGCCGAGGGCGCTGCGCAGAGAGCCCCGAGGGCTGCGAGGCACAAGCAGCGGCGAAAGGGCTGCGGCGCGCACGGCTGCGCTGCTCGGGTGCTCTCCCTGGTGGGGTGGAGGCAGCTCCCTGCTCCTCAGTGGTCCCACTCCTCTTCCCTTTCACTTACTCCTTCTTCCTCCTCTGGAAATGCTGAATCACTCTTACTCTTCAGGTGCTTAATCCCTGAAAATACAGAAGTCGTGGTAAAAGATGTGTTAGCTTGAGTAGGACATTTTTTTTCCTTAATGAACAAACAAAAAATGGAAGTAATGGCAAGTTTTGTAATGCCACACTGCTCTCTTTTCCACAAACCTCTTAGTTCAAACAATACTGTGGTGTATTTCCAATAGATATAGTCTCTTCCTTGAATACAGGCTCTTAGAAACTTACTATGTTTTACTGAAGAAGCTGCTGAAAGACATTTTGTAGAACAGAACAACATTTGCTTCTCTTTTTCCCTTGGCAATCCTTCTTCAGATCAGTAGTGCCTATCTCAAGCAAGGTAAAAGTTTTCAATGCTCAGCAAGTAGATGAAGGAATTATTCTACCAGAATTTCAACTTGAGCCTCTTTTTGACACTGCCCATCTGAAGGTCACCACTCACACAGATCCAGTGTCCCGTGGTCACAGCTTTCCATGTGCATCAAAGGTCTTCTCCAGCATGTGTCCTCATAGTCCACACACAACCTGCAGAGCCATCCTGGTGCAAAGCATCAGACCTGACAGAGAGGGAACTGCTGCTGCCAAAGCCATGACAACATTGGATTATTTCTCACATGGAGACATATTCTGTTGACCTCCAAATACCATATGGGGTTGAATGAAAAGGGTAAATAACTATCACAGGATATTTGGAAGTTTATTTGGAGGAAAGCTATGAAGTCCCTTCTACTGGCCAGTTTCAGCCAGAAAGTGACGTAGGTTCTATGGAATTTAGTCAAATTGCAAAGTTGTTCCCCCTGTCCCATGTTCAGTACAAGGGAGCAGGCTCTAATGAATGGGCATGATCCCATCTTTTCAGCTCCCTCTTGGTGTGATAGAAGAATTCAAGCCAAAAAGATGACAGGAAAAATCCAGCCAAAAAGAGAGGGGAGAGCAGAAATGAAGGGTTTTCGTTTCACATTAAAAAAAAAATAAAAATAATTCAGCATAAATTATTCCAGTTCAACAAAATTACAAATAGCTGAAAACAGGATCTTACAAGTGGTCACGCACCAAGAATTCAGCCAGCTCCACTTCCAACAGGAGCCCATCATTGCTCAGTGCTGGGCTCCTTTCTCTCTTTTGTTTTTTCTCCACAGAAACAACGGTACTTGGTTCCCTGAGAAACTGCTGTTCAGACATGAAACAAGCAAATAAACTAAGGCTCCCAAGTCACAGTATGTGTAAGTGTGCCCTCCAATAATGAAACCATTTCCGATTAAGTAACCGTCATGCCATGAAGAAGCTCTTAGGGTGCTCAGCTAGCACCAAGCTCACCTCTTTAGCAACACCCTTTAGGGAGACAATTATAAATATGATTTCACCTAACTATAGGTTAGTGGATATTAATTTCAAAATGGTGCTGTGTTATTGGGCGAACTTGTCTCCTGTTGTTTACCTCTGGACTTACCAAGCCATTTCTTGCACAGACACAGTACCTGTCTTAACAGCTACTATTCAGCACTTCAAACAGGAATTGCTAGGACCCAGAATGCACCATGTTAAGGGAGTTTTTTGAAGATGAAAAAAGCAAAGTTATAGACAGAAAAAAGAACATATGATATACAGTTAGTATGATGAAGCTCCATGGAATGTTATATTTGGTAGAAGCAAGACTTTTGGCTATGTAGTTCAATGGCAATATTCAATGTGAAAATTGCAGAAAATTGAGAGAAATTGCATCAATGAGCATTACTCATTGATTCCTATGTAGCAGGCAACTATCCATCTTACTTAATTACTTTTTGTAATATCCATTCTACAGCCTGCCTTCACCTCTGCCAGCCATTTAATACCCCAGTGTCATCTGGAGGGAAAGACTCACAGGGTTTCCTGCACTTAGCAATAAGTGTCCAAGATTCAGTGTCATTATTCATAAGCCTCAAGATGTTCTGACAGTACCAGGATGTCAGAATTATCTGACCCTATGTGTGATACTATAAAATGAGACGCTCAGCTACACAATTTAAAAAGTTAGTGTAAAGTGACATAAAGGTAATGAAATTCCCTTCGTTAACACGTGAACATACACGACAGAAAAGGCTCGTGGCTTTCCTGGAAAGAAATATTTAATGCACAAAGTGTCAGTCTTTTACAGAGAGAAAAAGAAAAAGATAAAAAAATCCTGGATAATAAAAAAAACTTAGTTAAATAACAGCAATCATACTCCACAATTACCAGCATAGCTAGCCACATGATAGTGCAGAAACCCAGAGTGGCTGCCAAGGGTGCTCAGAAGGCACTGGATCTGGCCATGCACACGTTCATCCACAGCTCCTACTCACTAAAACAATTGAAGATAAGAGGCTTTTAGAGCAGCTCTTGAGTGCCACTGCAGCAGGGTTATCCAAACTGCCTTCCCTGCCCTTTGTCAACACGAAGCAGATGATAAGCAGGAAGCCAGGTGGAGCTCTATCCACAGAGATATTTTTTTTCTAATCAAGTTGCATCTACTCAGACCCAGTGTCTTTGTTTAACAATAGCTAAATACTTTGCTGAAAGGTTACACTCTGGCTAGATTCTAAGTGAAAAACTTGTCACTCAGGTCACCCCAACTGTTTTTTACAACTACTACTGTTAGAAAGGATATGCCTAGCTCACCTTTTCAATCTTCACACACCACTAACATAATTTGTGCCCTCAGCTTTTCTAACAGTATTGAAGAGGCACCAGAATGCAGTTGTTTGTGGTTTGTTTCTATTGATGAAGTACAGTAGTGAAGCAACAAATATAGACTCTAATTTTACTCAGAAAAAAACCAAACAAAATAAACCTAGGATACTTGGGAGGCTATCTGGAGGACATTTTAGAAGATACTATATAAACTACAGAAGCTTTGCAATATAAGTTGCAAATAGGGAGGATTGCAAATGCTGATCCACAGTCTCTCTCATCAGTGTCCTAAACTCCAGGACATGGGTAATTCTGACTTTCTGGGCACCCTGACTGTCCTAAAGCTCTGTGCCTGCACCATCCTGACACAGTTCTGTGTCTCCCTGCTCTGCGCCGTCTGGGCTGTCCTACCCAGCCCTGGGCTCCCCTGCCCACCTTGGATTCCTGTGTCTGCAGAGGTCCCAGCCATGCTGCCAAGCCCACCGGTCTCTGGTTCCCTCTGCTCCAACCCCTCACACTCCGCCCAGAGCTTTACTCTTTGTCTGGCAGGTCTGACAGCAAAGCCCCTTCCAGCCCAAAGGCTGCCACTTCTCACCACTCCCTGGCAACGATTTCATACCCACAGAGTGTTTAAACTCACTCTTATCCTGGCTTAAACTGTCTGAGCACTGCCTCTCCTGTCTTCCCCCCTCCCCACCCCAACTCCTTTTTATGTGTCTAAAGCCAGCAGGACAAGATTTGTTTTTCCTCAAAGGGCTCATATTTCATCGCAGGTAATTCAAGCCAATTAATGCTGATGAAGAAACCCTTAATGTCAAACATAGTTCAGCAGCCATGCACCAATACACTTTGAACTGGAAATTTTTTTTAGATTAAGTCACTGCCTCAAAGCATATTTCTAGATTACTTATAAATTATGAGTGCAAATGGGACAGCTTTCTGGCACTTTTGCAGTCACATAATAATGTCTATACTGTTTAATCAACAGCTGGGTTTTTGCTTCTCTCCATCTGACCAAAGCACTGGATTAGAAGGCTAAGCAGTGTCACAAGATGTGAAATAACCAAGTGCTCCTGAATTAAATATCTCATGGGAAAAAAAATAATAATTATATATTTATATATATATATATAAGTAATTAAGGCAGCTCCCCTTCCTATTTAACACTTCTTCCTTCACCCCACTTCACTGCCCAAGGAATGATGTTGACATTTACCAAACTCAGGATTGAAGTCTGGTTGGCAATTTGAATTCCCTGAAGTTTGAAGGGTTATTTAGTTTTATGTTTTGGAGCTGAACTGCTCTCTCAAAAATGAATTTCCAGATTTTCAGAAAACAGTGAAAGGCAAAGCTGAGCCACATGCAAAGCAGTCTGATTTTCAGAGTTTCAGAATTCACATCACTTTGAAATTATCAAGCAAGGAAACAAAACCAGCCAAAGAGGATAATGGTCAAATAAAAATGTCTGCCTTATGCCAATCCTAATTTAAATAAGTTATTAGCAAAAATAATAATATAAAAATAAAAAACACATATTCATGCCACTAAACAGGAAAAACATCTTCTCCTTTTTATGGAACATTTTGTTTTGAATTTAACAGCCAAATATGTTCTGACTTCTTTGAAGCCCCTTCCTCATCTGTTTGTTGTTAGTTTTTGCTCAGGTTTTCTCCTCAGATGAAAATAATTTTTAAATTTAAAAAGACCCAACAAAACAAAACAAAACACCCAAACCAAAACAAACAAAAAACCACAAACAAAAAAACCAGAAAAGAAAAAAAAATCACACCAGAAACAAACCAAAACTAATGTCACAAAAACCAACATCTGTCACAGGTCTATGGCTAATTTGGAAGCAGTGAGATGCAGCTGCAAAGGTAACAGAGCCCAGAAGGTCTTCAGGAGCAGCCACTTTCAAGGACCAGAGTGGCCCATACTGATACAGGAGCATTTCTGTTGCTTTAAACAACTGAGATAGAGTATATACTCCATGCAGAAGCAGGACAGTAAACCTGTAAGGAAAATGCTATAATTTCCCAAATGTCTATTTTGAGCTTTCTCTTGTTTCCTCTTTGTATAAATGACCTACTATCTACCTCTCTCATCTGTACAATGAGTTCCTGAAAACTTTAATCCATTTTTACTTAATTGGTTGGCTTAGATAAGCTCTCCTTGCATGCAAGTCAGAGTTCAGTGCACAAGCTGTTGTTAGTAATCCCTTAAAAAACATTAACCCCATCCTTAACCCTACTTGCCTCCTTAGCTGCTGCCCAATGTTTCCTTCCACTATCTAGCTCACCAAAAATGACACTTTACTGTCTACATCTTACCTTTTTTATTTTTTTTTTTCCTCCTCCTAAATCCTCCAC